TTTAAAATAAGGGGCCGACCATTTAACTTTTGAGGGGGGAAGGTTTTTTTTTCTGGGATCGTTATGTGGAAGTTTTTTTCCTATCCCATCACCATGTACGATATTTTTTTGCCACTCTCTCTTCACGATGGCCGGTTGCTATGCAGTTTGCTCCCGGAGTCAATTTGCCTGGGTATATTGGTTTCCGGTTTCCTAGCTGTAAATTATGGCGCGGTTCAAATACTGCGTCTTTGGCGCTCCTGTTTGCGTTTATTTTTCAACGTTTTAAAACGATACTTGCTCAATCTGTACTACATCGAACCGTCTATTAGCTCGTGCGCACAAATAACCTATACGGTTATTTGAAAACGGTAAAATGTTGGTGTTGTTGTGGCCATGTATTTTCGCCTTTTGAGCGATGAGAATCATGCCGAGAAGGACAAATTGTACTGTCTAGGGGTCCCACAGCATCGCACGTGCATGGCCTACAATCCCCCCTTGAAAACCTTGCTGAATTCGAAGCATTGCCGGAATTATTAGCCGAAATAGCTAAGAATTCGGCATTTTTCCTTGTTTTTTAAAAATATTTTTGTTGAAACTTGATTTCGGAGAAACTTTTCAAGGCAAAGTTGAAGAATAGCATTTATTTAACAAGTCTAAATGGATAGCAGTGCCGGAGAAAGGTGTGGGAAAAAGTCTCTTTGACGAACGCATTTGCATTTTATACGCGTTTAATGACCAATTTTTTAGGTTGCAACCATTAGCAATTGGTCATTTTGACCAATTGTTTAATTAGTTAGTCGCATTTGACCAATTAAATTTGGTTCCTTTGACTATTACAAATTGGTCGAAAAAATTGGTCTTCTTTCGACCAATTTATATAAGTTATTATAACCAACTTTTTATTGGTCATTTAGTTGAGTGTTCACTGTTAATTTCAAGGAGTTATTTCAACTCCACTGAGAATTAAAAATTTGGGAGTGAAAAAGTTAAATTTACTCGGCCTACGTCTTCGATATATGCATTCGAACATATACTCCACTGAGGGTCAATTTAACTCCACTTAAAGGAGTAAAATAGAACGGAGTAAATTTTACTCACAAACAGAATAACGGAGTAAATTTTACTCCTAATCAAAATAACCGAGTAAATTTTACTTAGTCATATTTTTTACTTCACAATTAATCGTATAGTAGAAGTAAAAATATCGAGTAATATTCCGCCTAGTTTTTACTCGGCCTGTGTAATATAACTCGACCATTACACATAGGAATCCATAGGAATGGCCGAAACTATATTAAAGTCTCTTCAACCTTGAATTATAATTGCTATACAAATTTGTATAGTGAAAGCCTGCAGTTCGTGTAAAATCATCCGACAAAGACACAAGATCTAGCTGGTTGACGCGCTTTTTCGTAAATGTTGCCAAGTCAGATTGCTTTTAAAATTAGCAGTATCGGCTTCTTATTGTTCAATCGCGCGCGACGATCAAGTTTTTCTCGTCAAATTAATGTACTGTCATTGCTCTCAGTATATCAGTTGTTTATTTTTATTTGCTGCGTAAATCTGTAATTTGAACTTGTGGAAAGTCCTGCTGCTGAATTCTGCTGAATATAATTTGCGCCAAGTGGAAGTTTCAAAGTTTCAACCAATTACCATGCTTAGAATATATCACGTGTTGTAGTAATTCAATCTTTTCACATCAGCGCGCTAAGTTCGATCTTTTGGGAGCAAACATTCAAACAGGAAAGATTTATATTCAAATTTTCTGCTTATAAAGATCGAAAGACTTAATAGAACACAAGGAGATTGTTTTCAAAGGTATGTCTCTTGTGTATTTACTTATTTGTATGCGGGTAGTTACTTGACTTCTTGACAGACTGTGTAGTTATATTTTTAAATCGAAGGCCTGTATTTTATAGTCGCTTTGTGCCGATTTTACGAAGGCATCTAAACGTTCAGTTGTAAATTTCGGTTTACATAACAGTCTCTACTTATCTGTATTGCTAAGAAAATCGTATACGGCTTATTTCTGTGATATACATATGTGTTGTTCTGTTAAGTATTTGCTATGTTGACACTTGACATGTATACTTTTATAATAATGTGATTTGTTTGAAATATGCATAATTACACTATTGACGAAGGGCCTTCATAAATTTCGAAACGTCGACTCGAGTTGTTTTTTAAGGTAGTATTTTTACATTGGTACTACCACACACATACCCTGGGTACCAGAGCCTCTTATGAAGTGAGGACACGACGAGGAGGCTCTGGTCACACGAGCAACCAGCCTCACTTCGGTGAGTTCAATATTTGAACTCCGTTTGTGATTGGTCTAAATTTATGCGAGTCCTTTCATTGGTTAACCGACACGATCCGGTTTGTCTATTACAAAAACCGGTTTTCTCTTTAATGTATCAAATGTTTTATTCTAATTTACATTGATAAATAGTTATGGATGTTGACTTCTCTCAGGCGATTCGAAAATCAATTAGTTTTCCTCTCGAGTCTTTTCCAAACATTAAGGAACTGAAAGCAGTTCAAGAAGATGCCATCATCAGCTTCGTAAGGAGACGAGATGTGTTTGGGGTACTTCCGACAGGATACGGGAAGTCGCTAATATTTCAGCTTATCCCCGGCATTTGCAGATATCTAAACAAGACAGGTTTTCCATATCCGTCAAATCCAATATTGATAGTAATTTGTCCGCTTAATGCGTTGATCGAATCCCATTTAAAAGAATTATCAGCCTGTGGAGTGTCTGCTTGCTCGCTATCCGACGGAAGCGTCAATATTGATGATCTGATCGCTGGAAAATTCTCTATTGTTTTGGCTAGTCCTGAAGCCATAGTTGACAACACCAAGTGGAGAAACATGCTTCAGGAACCCTTATTCCAAGAAAATATATTTGGACTTGTTACAGACGAAGCGCACGTTGTTCCAAAATGGTACGCTTTTATTGTATTGTATTTGTGTTGTATTTTATATACGGTAGCTTTCGATTTCGACATGTACCTGTCGTATTTATACATAATATTTGATACATGTATTGTCCCTATTTAATACTCGACTAATCAAGTTTTATACCAAAGAATATTCAGCAGATTTACTGTTTTAACTGTCTATTTGTAATTTCTAACGTAAATTCGCGTACTTAAAATGATTTAAATAATATCATAGCTACCTCGAAATCCTTTGTTTCGCGAGGAATGATTCGTCCCTCATCTTTATGCATAACCGGCTCTTATATTGATGTCAATTAAATATTTAATATCCCAATAGTCATCTTAGTATGAAGAACCAAACGCGCCTTTTCATTTCGACTTATTCAATCGAATGAAACCGTTTTATTGTCTCGATAGCTATGATATTACAAACTGATATCATGGCATTGCAGTCGATTAGTGATGAAATGTACCTCGGACATGTCGATAATCGACATTGAATTTAACCCATTGAGCCACAATGCGTCCTACTTATTTCTTTTGCTTGTCGAACGCCAGACAATTTTATTCGTCTGTGGGGAAGCTCTGTAGATTAATGGGTTAAAAACCAACACCCCCCCCTCAAGGACCTCTGCTTTTGGGGATTTTTACCCCTATGGAATGAAAAAAACTCTGTGTAATTGACCCCTCTAGAAGAGATTTGAACCCCCTCTGGAAGTGCATTTTAACTCCTCTGGAAACATTATTTTTGTCCCATTTTCCCCAAATATTACCCCTCTGGAATAAATTACTAATTTTAGTAATTTACCCCCCTCAGAAGTTGAGGTCCTTGATAGGGGGGGGGGTATTAATTAAATGTATTAATAGCCCATTAAATCTGTCCAGATTACGTTTGGTGCTATACTTCACCACATATTAAACCTTTAAGACTTTATTTTTAGGGGCAAAGGAAATGCCAAAGAACGTAAAGCTGCCTTTAGACAGTGCTTTTTCAGACTTGGAGAAGTTAGGTCATTACTTCCTTTGGGAACGCCAGTATTAGCTTTAACTGCTACTGCAACCCCAAAGGTAAAGAAAGAAACAATGGAAGGTCTTTCATTGAAACCAGATACCCACTTAATTTCAGTCACTCCAAATAGACCAAATATTTATCTTTATAAAGCCAAAGTAAATGATAGTCTGGAATGCTTTGATTGGTCAATTGACAATATCAAACTAAAGAAAAACACTACTCCAAAGACAATAGTCTACTGTAAGTCTCAAAAAGAATGTGGGAAGATTTTTAGACACTTCAAGTCAAATCTTAAAGAAGATCTATATTTTCCAGAAGGAGCTGAGAAAGTATCAAAGAACATGGTTATAGGAATGTTCCATGCTAATACTCTGACTAAAAATAAAAACAGGGTGTCTGATTCATTGTTTGATCCAGATGGGACTTGCCGGGTCGTGTTTGCTTCAACAGCTCTTGGAATGGGAGTTAATATTAAGGATATATTTCAAGTAATTCATTACGGGCCACCACGACAAGCAGACGACTTCCTTCAGGAGATAGGCAGAGCTGGTCGTAATGGACAAGCTGCACCTTACATTCTTTTTTACAAAGGCAATCATCTTAAGAATTGTGATTTAAACATTAAAGAGTATACAAAAACTAGTGAAAAATGTTTAAGGGAAATTATTTTGAAGGAATTTGATGAAACTAGCACTCTGTTGAAGTCAGGTACCCATGATTGTTGTATTATTTGTCATAAAATTTGCCTTTGTTCTCCGGATCATCTTGTGGAGTACCTTTGCCAACGTTTGGGATAACCAATCAAGCAAACATAGTTAGGAATAAAAAGAGAACTGTTACAAAGCAGGAAAAGAATGAGTTGCTTGAACTGCTTATTGACTATAAAAAACAGCTAACTGATAACTGCCCAGTTAATCTGCTATCATCAGAATCATCACCTGGCTTTTCAGATTCCTTAGTCAAATCTGTGCTTAAACATTGTAAATTTCTATTTTCGATAGAAGATGTTATGAACCTATGTTCAGTTTATAAGAGATCACATGCAGTTTGTATTTTACATTATGGTAAGGGATGTATTTGAAGATTTTGAGTTTAGTGAATGTGACTCCAGTGACTTGGATGATTTACAAGAATTGGACCTTGACTTTGATTTTGATTTTGAATATGGTGGAGAATATGGTGGAGAATATGGATATGGCAGCAATGGAAGTAGTTCTGAGTCTGGTTCATCTGTTGAGTCATTATGCTCTGATGTGTCAAATGTGTCTGGCGTTGCCAAGTTTGATTGACTTTGATGTTAGTATGTGCATTGTATTGTTAAATACTTATTATATTATTATTATTTTCCACAATGGCCTTGTTTTTGTGTGTTTTGTTCACAGTAGGGATAAGAACAAACTTGTGATTGGGCTTAAAGATCAAGATAAATATACAGTAGATATCAGTGCAGTAAACATGGAAACAAGGCCATTGGGGCGAAAGGGAATAACGGCAATAACCCAATATTGCACATCAAAATTCTGAGCATCTGTTGAATAAGACCATCTTGTTACCCATTAAATTAAGATGCAATGTGACCGAATGTACCCTGCTTTGTACTTTTACTCTGTCTAACACCCAAGCCTGGAAATAAAATGACCAGCACCAAATAAAGAATACATGTGTGCCTGTCACAAAAAAAACAACATGCCTGTCAGTCAAAAGTTTCATATGATACAAATATGTGGTGGTTAATACATATATATGTTCAATGGTATTTAGAAATTTGCAGCTTTTGCAGAGTAGCTTTTGCTAATATAATCACATAACTCATAAGTTTCCTGATTATTTGTCATTTTGATATAATTGGCTTTCGAGCTAAAATCTATTCTTTAAGTAACATGGAAATTAAATTACTTTTGTATATTTGCTCAAAAATTGAAGGAAATTTGGGGAAAGATGGACATTTTGAGTGATTAAGAAAAGGAAATTTTTAGGTTTCAAAAGCTGAATAATGCAAACTGGACAAAGTGACAGACACAATCAAAGTTGTGCCTGTCAAAAACACTAGAAATCATGTATTTGTACCTGTCAATGACCGTGGCTGGATGCTTATAAGGGGCCATAATCCAGGCCCTTAAGAAGACTGTCTTTGAAATTAGTCATAACATCATAACTTCTCGTGATAGTTGAAGATTTGGTGAAAACATTTCCTTTGCTTGTTAGTTCTTTAACTATCGATACAAAATCATCATATATGTGATTTTTTCACCTTGTGATGACATGACGACCTTTTAACATTTAAATCTGAATCAACTGATTCCAGCAACTTTTCCACATTATGTATAGATTGACCCTTTGTGCTGCACTTTCTGTCAGGTTTGGCCCCAGGTGTTTTAGAAGTCCCTTTAGCAAGTTGTTAAGGTGTTCTAGCCTCAAGTTTAAGGCAATGTTTTTGCCTGGGCCTCCTTTGTTATTAACATAACGATTCCACATTAAACTATGGGAAAGTTTGGGAGTTAGCATAGCTTGTAACCATGCATGCAACTGCAATGCAGCAAGCGCATATTTGTTGTGACCATGTAACCTGAATAGCAACATGGCAAATTTCCAACATCTTATTGTACGCTCACCATCGCCCTCTTTAACTGAGTCATCAAAGTTTCTCAAAAACAATGTATGTATGTATGTATGTATGTAAACTTTATTTAAAGACGTTAGCCTCGTCAACGATTTGTTGATTTTCACGAGGGACGTCTGTTACTATTAAAAATTACAAATATGATATAGAAAAGAATAAAGAATTATATACAACTATTTACAATACAAGAATTAAGTTCCAAACGGTGTGACCCATATTTCTAAAGCATGCATATACAGTATATTAGAAGATGTTAGCGTGAATCTTTCAGGCAGTTTTTAAAAGAATAAATTGATTGCGCTAGCTTCGCATCAGAAGGAAGATTATTCCACAATTTAGCTCCGCTATACTTAAAGCTTTTTTTTAGAAATTCTCGTTTTGGCTTAGCAAGGGTAAGGTCAGTATAAGTATTGCGAAGATTATAACTGGTTTGAACAAGGTCCCTTCTCGTTAGAGCATCCTTCAAGTTCGGCCCAGCGCAATCATTCAGGACTTTATACATTAATGTGGATTTAGTTGTAAGTTGTCTTATCTCTAAATTTTCCCAAGCAAGGGATCGAAGAACATCAGCAGACCTTATTTCATAGCTGGCGCCGGTTATAATTCTCGCTGCACGGTTTTGGAACTTTTGAAGCTTATCTTTCAGCTGTTGATTACAGACGTCCCATAATGGACTACAATAATCAAAATACGGTTCTATCAAAGCTCTGTAAATGGTATGCAGGGTATTTATAGGAACATATGGCTTAATTCGTTGCATTGCTCCTATGCCGGCCCCAACTTTCTTACAAATCATTTCAACATGCTCATGCCAATTAAGGTTTTCATCAAGTTTAACCCCAAGGCATGTGTATGAATGAGCAAGAGTTATGAATTGGTTATTCATCATTACTGGAATATCATAAGTCATAGTATCAGTATTATACTTTGAACCAATATACATTAATTTGGTCTTAGTTGGGTGGTGTTGCAGTTTATTTCGAGCAAGCCACTTACCGATTTTTTTCAGGTCATTATTTAGATTTTCAGTAAGTTCCTCAATAGTTTTGGCAGAAGTAGAAATTTGAGTATCATCAGCGTATAGGTGTGGCGAAGTTTTTTCGAGGCATTCAGGTAAATCTCATACTGAGACGTAGCAATTGGATCAATCATGTATAAAGCACAGTAACAACCTTAAAAGCATTTCTTCAATTTGCTTGTGCAACCATATTCGTTTCATTTTTTCAGTTCCATTTAAAATGTTGGGAGGAATGAAACATTCTGCTGGTGTTTCCAGGGAGTCTATGCTAAAGTGTGTCATTGCTGCAGCTAGAATGAATGCATTGGTCTCCAGGTTTATGTATTCCTTGCAGTGGTTGAAATTATCAAGGACATTTTTAGTCTTTGCATTTGAGTTGTTAATGACATTAAGGTTTGAGCATGTTGTACCCACATCATTTCCTGAATTTGTATTGAAGAATATGTCGTATAGAATCTAAACATAGAAGCAATAATATTGTACATATTACATTTGCCCATGTAATACCAGCTGGGTGACTATATAATTACAGCATATAACATTTTGTGAAAAGAGCAACAACTTGTGCTATTATCATTGTGTTTATAATATTGTGTAATATTAAGTAACAATTTTACTCGTCAGGGGAGATTTTTTACAATTAATGTGAACGGGGTTATTTAATTTTTTGTGATGAGGAGGTGCAGGACATTTTGTTTTAGTTGTTAATTGAATTTTTCCAGCCCACCCCGGTCGAATAATGAATGGTCTCTTATATACCTGGTAAAGAATTCGTATGGCATGCCAACTTCCACCTTTGACAGAAAACCTTCCAGGCGTTCAAACTTTGATCACCATCAGACATTGCATCTATGCAATTTCGACCCCTTTCATCAGTCAGCTGATCTCCACCAAAGAACAGCATCTCATTAACAACAGTTCTTTCTTCTTTATTTTGAATGGTCTTGCTTACAGGTAGATATTTGTTGTGAATTGTTTAAAGAATGCCTATCATTTCCTCGTTTATGTTCTCATTCTTAAATTATAGCCCAACAGGTACCTACAACATGACATTAATGAACAGAAGATTAATAATGCAAATCTTGGCATATATGTAAATGCCAAGTTCATAGCTGCAACTGATGCAGTAACTTGAGTAACTAGGGTGCGATAATTCGCGTACTTACATAACGGAGGTACGCCAACATTACGGTCTGGTACATATTTGTTAGTCAAGTACCATGTAGGTATGCAGAACTCTTGCTATCTGCGTATACTTACTTTTTGTTGGTGCCATACGATTTTGCAAACACAATATATTCAAAACCATAATAAAGTCAGTACATGACTGACATGTCTTGGCATGAAACATGACTGGACTAAGCAATGTTAGCGATCGAGTCGATTGTAGTATTTGTATATATGGAATTGCACTACTTGTTATAATTTATCAGGTTGCTGAATGAATTCATTTCAGAAACCTGTACTTTGTGTACTTCATTTTAAAGAGTAGCTAACATCTTGAGTTTTAATCATGCATGCAGCTCAAGTATGCAGCAATAATCATTGGCGTACCAGTGAGGTACGACTAAAAATCGTGAATTATCGCACCCTGGAGTAACCCTATTTACTTACTCAATAGCTTTTAAATTGATAAGTCAAATTGACAAAAGTTTGAGATCAATTACACATCTCTTTGCTTACTTAAATATTATCTACAATTTAAGCAGCCAGTCTAAGGTATTAACCAAAAGTATTTGGACTCGCGCAGGGACGAGCAACAAAACTAAAAAATCTGGCAGGCGCGCTCCCAGCGTTTCTGAAACAAATATTAAAAGATCCTTTTTCAATCAACTGCCACAAATTTACTCCTATCAATTTATCTACCTGTCAAACAGATGGGTGTCTATATATCACTGAAAAAAATATAATATACATATACTATATATCACACCTGGGTAGATTTCTGCTTCATCTCGTTGGTATACTTGTGTGGTATATGCCAAACAACTGATTTCTTAAATTGTTGCAATGCAGAAATATTGGTTACCAGAACACGACTTACAAGAGGAATAAAATCCTGAAGGATGTTAACGTTATCTTGAGCAGATGGAAGAAACTGTGAATTCTCCATTTTAAGAAAGGACATGATTGGTTTGTTATTGTTGAGCTGATTATTATTCACTCTGTTGAGGACAGCATTTATGTTAAACCAGTGTATACTGGAATTCTGATTTGTGCTTGACATGTGCTTCACCTTAACATACAAGTCCACATTGTCTCCAGTCAGTTGATACCCAGGGGCATGAGACAATTCAATTTTCATCTGAGTATATTTTAGGTTTTCTTCGTATGAAGCATGTGAATTACACAAGTTCCTAAGTTTATCCATGACTTCATCAATGATAGCCTCATTGAATCTTCCTTCAACTGTACCTTTAGCTTTAAGTTTCTCCTTTAATATATTCTCATCAATACCATACTTTCTATGTAGTGACTCAGTTTGAAATGAAGGATTAGCTATTTGACTATCACTGACAGATTCAGTTGTGATAATTGGTGGACCAACAAGGCTTGTTGGAACAAGCTCTTCATTATTGATACTCTGGATGAATCTAACAGCCGACTCAAGGTTGTGGCTATGCTCGAGACTTTCTTTCCATGTCTTAATTTGCTCATCAAAATTCAAGCCAAATTCATCAACCTTCTTTAAAGTTCTCCAATGACTCATTGAAATTCCCCACCTATTAAGTCTTTTGAATAGCTATAAAGCAATAGATAATCAATTTAAGCAAAGCTATAAATTGCGGTTAATGGAGTAATATGTTCTGAAGGCTCTATCTGCCCGAGGGTGTTTCCAGTCTGCCAACGCATCTGCGTCACAACAATTAATCCGTACCAGGTACGTACAAGGTCCAAGTACCTTGGCAGAACAAGGGAACCGTTTTCTAGCCCTGTTAATATTACAAAATATCTGATAAATATCGAAC